TATTGATGGCTTTACTGTTTTCCACTTGAAGGAACTCGAGGATGAACTCCGTCCTGTCAGTGCAGAGTGAATCTTGAAGATGGTGTCCTCAGTCTGATGTGTTTACTTTAACAACAACAGTTTCGCATAAAAACAACAGCTGGTAAAAATGTCTCATCTACTTCACACGAAACCTCGACTGCTAACAACACTGAGTCACTTACTGTAGGGATATTAATCACAAAACTACACATGATAAACAAATATCACACGTCTGTTTTCATACAGTGGCAAGATGCAGGATCAGACAAACGGCCCACGTGCTTTATATGCATGTAAGTACATATATACAATAATATGCCCCGTATATGTATTACGTGTGTTATCACTGTTAGGATAAAACCTTGTAGGTCTTTTCTTTGATTTTTAATCATTGGAATGTGCCAGCTGCCCTTAAGACTGTGTGAAAATTTCATTAAAATACAATAAAACAATTTACAATAAATTACTTAGAATTAAATGTTATGTTAACCTCAGCTGAACGTTAAGAAGGTTTTCTCCCTTTCCTTTTTTTTTTGGGACATACAAGATTTTGTTTTGACAGCAACAATTTATAATAAACACTATATGGACAAAAGTATTGGGACACCTACACATCACACCTACAGGAGCTTTAATGAATCCCATTCTAAATCCACAGGCATTAAAATGGAGTTGGACCCCCTTTGCAGCTGTAACAGCTTCCACTCTTCTGGGAAGCTTCTACAAGACTTTGGAGAGGGTCTGTGGGAATTTCTGACTGGGTCTGGCTCACAATCTCCGTTCTAGTTCATCCCAAAGGTGTTGATGGGGTTGAGGTCAGGACTGAGGTGAGGGCCAGTCAAGTTCTTCCACACCAAACTCACCCAGTCAGGCCTGCTTTGTGCACTGGGTCTCAGTCATGCTGGAACAGAAAGGTTCTTCACCAAACTGTTCCACAAAGTTGGAAGTGTACAATTATCCAAAATGTTGCTGAATGCTGAAGCATTAAGATTTCCCTTCACTGGAACTGAGGGTTCTAGACCAACCCCTGAAAAACAGCCCCATATCATCATCCCTCCTCCACCAAACTGTACAGCTGGCACAGTGCAGTCAGGCAGGTAACGTTCTCCTGGCACTCGCCAAACCCGGACTCGTCCATCAGACTGACAGATAGAGAAGCTGATTCGTCACTCCACAGGCTTGCATGCAGCTGCTCGGCCATGGAAACCCTGCCATGAAGCTCCTGGTGTAGTTTCTGTGCTGATGTTGATCCAGAGGAGGTTTGAACTCTGCAGTTATTGATCAGCAGAGTGTTGGTGTCTTTTATGCTCTATGCTCCTCAGCACTCGGCGACCCGCTCTGTACCTTTATGTGGTCTGACACTTCGTGGCTGAGTTGCTGTGGTTCCTAAACGCCTCCACTTTTCAATTATACCACTCATAGTTGATCGTGGAAAATCTAGGAGGGAAGAAACTTCGCAAATTGACTTGTTGTAACTGTGGCATCTTATTACAGCACCACGCTTGGATTCAGTGACCTCTTTAGACCCATTCTTTCATTAATGTGTGTAAAGGCAGGCTGCATGGCTAGGTACTTGATTTTATACACTTGTGGCAGTGAGACTGAATGAAACACCTGAATTCAATGATTAAGAGGTGTGTCCCAATACTTTTGTCCATATAGTGTATATATATATATATATTTCTGTGGATGTTTTGATTAAAGAAGACAGATGTGTAATCCAAAAAAAAGTAAATGAATTTAGCCAAAATCAATGCAGTTTAGTCTTTAGATACATCAGGCTAGACTTTACTACATCAGGAGCTCATTAGTGCATTCATAATGTTTTTGAGATGTATGTACTATAAGTAGCTATGATATGGTGTTTTGTCTGTACTGTGCAGCCCTGTGAGGGAGGAGTTAATCAGCGCAGGGTACTGAAGTGTAGTAAAAGTCTTTAGTAGATGAGGCCTGGAAGCTCAGCTAAGCTCAGATAAGAAAGGACGGGAAGGTGAGAGGTAATTAACAAGAGAACAAAATCCAACCGTCAGTCCGACAGACCGTAACAATAAGCAAAGGTTAACAGTCAAACAAAGGAGAGTGTGACGAGTTTAAAATAAGTTCAGAGTGAAGAGAGGGAAAAAAAAACGACTCGCATAAAGTTCTTATACTGAAAACCCGAATCCAAAACACATGGGGACAGTATGAGAAATGCAAATAAAAACAGAAAGCAGTGATTTATACATCTAATTTGTCCTGATATGACAGGGTATTTTATGTTTTATTTTATTATCTTATCAACTCCATGTTTTTTTGTAAATAAATGTGCATTCTGATATGGATACCTGCAACACGTTCCAAGAAAAGGGGCAATTTAAGACTAGGAACATTGTGAAATGTTCAACAAACATCTGATGCAATCGTGCTGAGTGCTGTATGAGTGAGTCAGGACTCGTTACTTTGCAAAAAAAAAGCTTCAGCAAATTTAGTCACAGTTTAAGAACATTCTTCAGCGAGCAGCTGAAAAGATTTTAGGTATTTCACCCTCTACAGTGCATAATAAGATCAAAATATTCAGGGGAGGAGGGGGTGCAAAGGTCTAAGTGTTGGCCCTCTCACAAGGAGATCATGAGCTCGATCCCCGGCAATACCACAGCTGTCCGTGGCTGGGAGTCCGAAAGAGCACAGTTGTCCTCGCTCTCCCTGGGTGGGTATGATTGCCCCCCGTATCACTCTCACGCAGGCATCTGATAGCTGATGCAACAGAACTGGCAGTTAGCGTTCTCCTCCAAGCGTGTTCAGCTGCCCAATGACATTGTTTTAGCAGCAGTTTGAAAAGATGCGGTGACGCTTCACAGGACTCGGAGGAAGCTTGTGTTAGCCTTTGCCCTCCTAGCCTCCTAGTGCTGGTGGTATTCTGTGATTAAGGGAGTCCCAACCACTAAAATAGAGAGAAAATTGGGGAAAAAATCCCAAAGAATACTAAAAAAAAAAGGGCACCCAGAGAAATCTCAGTGCCAAAAACCACAACCTAATGCCCATGTGTCCAACACAAGGCCCGCAGGCCAGATCCGGCCCATGGCTCTGTCCAAACCGACCCTCAAAGTTATTTAGATTTTCTATTAAAATTAGCCCATTTCACAATCAGTAGCACTACAGTCCCCAGCATGCACTGCAACATAATTTGCTCTGACACACTACTCCTGATAACAATGTATGGGACAGCAGTTTTTTACCCAGTTGCACACGTCATATTACCAAAAACAGCTGTGTTTTAGTTGCAGTTCAACCAACATAAACACTATAAACACTATAAACACTATAAACACTCAGACGTTTAAAGAGATTTAACAGTTATCTGTAGTTAATGTAGCCCAAATATATCAAGTATTCACATGTAATATTTGAAGGTTCACTACAAGTGGCTTTATTTTGCTGTTGACATATTGGTGTATTAAAATAGAAACGCTCTCTGGCCCTCGGATTTGTTGAGATTTTTCATTAAGGCCCTTTTAGTGGTCGAGTTTGACATGCTTGACCTAAGGCCCATGACTTTCAACTGGTCAGACAGCACTGAATTAAAACCATCATGTTTCTGGGATGGAGATCACCACATGGGCTCAGGAATACTACGATAAACCACTGTCAATAAACACCATCCATTACTGCATCCACTAACGCACATTAAGACTAAACTATGCACAGTGGAAGTCACATATCAGCAATGTCCAGAAACACCGCTGACTTCTCTGGGCTCAAGCTCATCTGAAATGGACTGAAGCTCAGTGGAAACATGTATTGTGGTCTGACGAGTCAAACTTTTAGATTGTTTATGGAAATAATGGACCTTTTGTTCTCCGGGGCAAAGTAGTAAGAACCATCAAGATTGTTACCAGCATAAAGTTCAAAATCCAGCATGTGTCATGGTGTAAGGGGGTGTTAGTGGTTGACTTGCACATCTGTGAAAGCACCATTAAAACTGAACACATTTTAGAGCAACACATGCTGCCTTTTAGAGACGTTCAAGATTATTGCAAAATGACAACACCAAAAAACATCCTGCATGTGGCTGCGTAATGAGACAGTGCGGGTGCTAGACTGTCCTGCCCGTCTCCTACTGAGAACATGCGGTGCATTATGAAGTGCAAAATATGACAACGAAGGCCGTGTATGGTCACGCAGATGAAGACTATATAACTGAAGAATGGCACAAAATATCTGCTTTCAAAACTGGATCGGTTTGTGTCTTCAGTTCCCAGCACTGTTAATAGTAAATGTGGTGTAAAAGAGTGGTAAATAAGCTTCTGTCCCATTTGGAACATGTTGTAGGATCAAATCAAATCAAATCAAATTTATTTGTATAGCGCTTTTTACAACTGATGTTGTCACAAAGCAGCTTCACAGAAATCCGTTTAGAACAAAGTTTTAACATGAAATGTAAATCCTCCAGGTGAGCAAGCCAGGGGCGACAGTGGCAAGGAAAAACTCCCTCAGAGCTGAGGAAGAAACCTTGGGAGGAACCAAGGCTCGCAAGGGGGGACCCAACCTTCTCTGGTCAAACTACCTACAAAATTATTATACTACTAATATTAATAGTAGTAGTAGTAGTAATAGTTAGGAGGTAGTAATAGTTAGGAGACTTCAGTGTAGAGTGGGCAGCCAGTCCAAGGCAGGTGGCGGTGACTGGGTTGTGGGTAACTGGTCTGAAGCGGGTAGCCGGAGAGCTCTACAAACAATCATCCAGCAGTGTCCGGCCGGACAGGTGGGCAGTCGTTTTCTCGGAAGGTCATATTTGGAATGAGCATATATTAATGAAAAAGGTTTATAAGGAAAAACATGATATATAATTTACTAACCACTGCTTTCTGTTTTTATTGGCCTTTCACATGCTGTGTTAGAGGGTGATACCCCCAGATGGAGGATTTCGGTTTTACGTGGGCTTCGTGGTTCAGGTCTGTGTGGGTGGGCCGGCGCTTACTAACGTGATTACTCCAAACAGGTGCAAGACGTGATTTTATTAAACAAGAGGACATAAACAAATAAACAAAACACTGAACAAAGGGAAAGAAAACGCAATAAAATATACACTATTTACAAGGGAGTTTGAGTAACAGCTGCGAGGCTGACTCACGCTGACTCGAGCTACACGGGCGGCTAAAAGTGAGTACAGGTGAGACTTCTCTCTGAATGGCTGACCCGGAGCTCTTGTACTCTAAGCTCTGCCCCAGCCTACACCAAACCCCAACCCTGGGGTGCATAACTAAAACACACACAGCACATACTATACAGTGACAACATACACCTGGTTGCAACCCATGACAGTCTTAACGATAAGTATATACAAACATTACTTATAAAGATCTCGATCCCTCTAACATATTTCCTTCTTTACAAGACCCGCATGAGATTGGACCCCCCTCCCTTCGTCAGTGGATCCGTCCGACTGGGATAAGAGGAGCCTGCTAGTGTGCCCTGACTAGTGTACTTAGATGTACCCGGTTTTCCCCTGTGGCTCAAATGTTTGCTGAGCAAACAGCCTCTCCTATAAGCACTTCGGTACTGACTGTCTCCTGTGGGGTCTGAATGCTGTATGGTGTTATTATTTATTGTTATTGTTAATGTGTTTATTCTCCGGGGAAACGATGCAAGTAATAATTTCACTGCACTGTTCAGGCCACAAAACTTGACATCTGTTTAACGCAGCACTTCCACCAGACTATTATTAGAACATCTGCCATCTAGTGGAGACCCTGCATTACTGCATCTGTCACTTCAAGTTACTGCAGTACTTCCTGTGTGTACAGAGGAAACACTGCTCAGTTTGGGTTTTTGATTTTTACACACAACCAAATCACTTTAATCATCAAATCATAGCAATTATATCTTGTAGGATTGACATCCCAGTGTTTTAACAGGCAAAAAAAGAGAAGGACATTTTTAGCAACAGAGAAAAACAAACAATAAACAATCAGTAATCAGTAAAACCTTGGACATGTCATTCAGGCAGGTCAAAGGTCATGAACAGCTTCAACCAGGGGTCTCAATCTCAAATTACCTGGGGGCCACTAGCCAGGTGGTCTTTACATGTGCCCCACATTTTTTCATGTATGAATTTTAACTATATAAAAGATGCACTTATTTAAATGCATCTTAGTCAGTGTTTATTAGCGATTCTTCTGTCACCTCAGACCACAGCTGCTACTACTATTAGTACCACTTCCAATAATAATAATTAATGATAATAATAATAATAATAATAAGAGTAATGATACTTTATCATTACTATTATTAGTAATAGTAGGATTAGCAGTACATAGAGTTTTAACTATTTTACTGTTCAATTAAATCAGGAAAGCTTACATTTAACAGTCAAATTATAAGGGACTCTTATTTTGGAACCACTGGTGTTCCCGCTAGATGCGAGTGAGGTTAGTGAGTGCATTTTAATGCACTTAATAATCCGATAACTGCAGAAAATCAGATTTTGTCAGTAATCTGATCAACACATTTACATGCACTTGAGTAATCAGATAATGGGGAAACTCCAGGTCTACATGAGTCAGACAGTAATCAGATTTCTGCTTTACAACCAGCCAATAAACTCACAGAAGACGAGACACAAACACAACGTAAAAGTCAAGCTTCATGCTGTGGCTTTAAAAAAAAAAAAAAATCATCGCGCCACTTTTACCTGAAAATATGAACAGACATCATCTAGAAGATGAAGAATATTTAAGTCCTTCATTTCGTCAAGCATGTATTTGGTTTCAGCGTCGCTCCTAAAGTGTTTTGCTGCGCCTCGTACTGCTGTCTGTTTTCGCACATGCTCAGTCTGCTTTTAATATCGTAATCATCAGTCTGAGCTGATTTTATAGACCTTATGTTGGGTATTCACACACAGTGTCTTATCAGTGAAGCTAATCTACCCACCAGATGAAAATATTTATATGCAGAAAATAAAAAAAAAGATTTGCAAGCTGGAAATAAGGATAAATTGTAAATACATGATGGGTCGTATGAAGCTGAGACCCCTGGTTTACACCCACTTCATTTACAACTGATGTTCAGCTGTTCAGCTACACATCCTATTACCTGTTACGATTTAATTACTCATAAATACTTAAATTTGATTACTTGTTACTTGAACATTTACCATATTCAACAGTGATCAAGTTCAAACCAGGAAACAACATTTCAAGTAGGGACTAAATCATTAAAAGGAGCAGCTGAACCAAATAGGCTAATGTGGCTAACAGTGAATGGAAGTCAGTAGCCGCCAATTAGCATGTTGTCATCATGCGTCACGCTAACAGGTGGCTGTTTGTTTTCATTTATTGTTATCAGCGTTAGCTTTTTTGACTGAACTGTTCCTGTAATTAGCTATAGCCATGGTAAACGTTAGCTTTATCTACGCTAATCTAGAGCATAGGCACTGTAACTTCAGTCTCTTCACTGTGTCCAGTGGGATGGTCAGTGTCTGATAAATGGTGGACAGAAACTTTAACATCCAGGCTGGCCTTACAGAGTGACTCTCTCTCCGCTGATTCACTCTGCTGAACTGATGCCAAGTTCTCTTCAATGGCCGCCTGACCCCCACCCTCTGCCGGATGGTCCAACACGTCGTCCACTATCGTCCTGCAGTTTAGGATGAGTGGGGGCAGCGGAATGCTTCTGGCCAGATCTTCCATATGCCTGGCAAACTCCATCGTCTTAAACTGCGTCACCTGCAGGAACCCGAAGTGTTTTAATGTTTGTATTACAATTATGAGCTTATTAAAGTCAAGTCTGTCCTATTCTTTCATATTGTGTATATATACACACATTATAATTAAAACATATGTTAATAAATTTTATTATTTTATATACATTAATAGCATAATTATAGAATTATCTATTGATAATAATTTTTGATTTAATAACTATTTTTGAAATAAGAGACTTTCTGGATTTTTTTTAATTGGATACTGATTTATCAATATTTTACTACAATTAAAATTTTTATTTTTTAAATTTTATTTATTTCTTTACTTTAATTTGATATTAATCTTACTGGTTTTTGATTTTATTGTAATAATCAGAGTGTCAGCGCTGGCTAAAGTGGTCAGTGTCTTACTGGTTCCTTCAGATTGCGTAAAAGTCTCTCTTCGGGTGCAGTTTGATTTGAGTGCAACGTTCGATACAATTTATCATGATATTTAATGGACATGCTTGGAAAAACAGTTGTTCTTCAAAGTTCTTGCCTGTCTTACTTAACAGACTCCCAATTAGGAGTGCAATTTGGTGTCCCACAAGGCTCTGTTTTAGGCCCCTTATTGTTCTTTCTATTTACAGTCCCTTGTACACATAATCCATAATCACATTGGGCCATATTCACCAACCGTTCTTAAGAAGGAATTTCTTCTTACAGATTTCACGAAGATTCTGACTCACCAGTGTTTTTTATTTGGGATTTGTTCTTAGATAAGAACAGAATCTACACTCACTCAAGAACACAAAGGTGAGAACAGTTCTGCGCTTTAAGAACACGTCATGAATCTGACGTAGACTTTTCTTTGACCTTCCTCAAGAACACATTGAAGAACAAACCTAGGAAGATACTGGAGAATGAGGCCCAATGTTGCCGTTACCTTTTATGCTGATTACACATAATGGCCGTATTAAAGATATAAAAGCCTGGATGAGCAGGACGTCCTCGTGCTCAGCTTTGGTAAAACAGAAGTGTTTCTGTTGGTTCTCTGAGAACAAAGTTGCAGATTTTATCCTTGACCTTAATGTTTCTCAGTGTAACCAAAAGCTATCTTGCTGTAACACTGCTAGTTTAGCATGCTTCATTTTAATGGAAGTGCATTCTGGATGTTAATTTGAATAGATTTTCACTCTATTAATAATATTAATTCCATTAAAGTCATGTTGGACATTAATTATAATATATCTTTATTTTGAATGTAAATTTTATTGGTAATATTAATGTAATAATATATTAAAATGTCTATATTTTTTTAATAATCTACAGCTTCTTTCTATGGACATTTACATTTTCTTAAAGTACTATAAGAATAGTTGAAAATAAATAAATAAATAAATCAATAAATGAATAAATGTGGCATGTTATTTTGAATTTAATACATTCTTGTTCCTAAAATTCATGAAATATCAATTAAAACATGTAAAAATATGTTTTGTTGTCTAACTTCTAACTTCCTGCACTGCACTGTACTTAACAAAACGTATAAATGTGACAAGTTATTCAACTTTGTGAACAGTAGTGTATGTACCTGCACTCTAATGTCCCCTTGATGGAATAATAAAGTTTAATATTGGCCCTGACACTGACCTTGGCCAGCTCCAGAGTCTTGGCGGACGTGACGATGGGGATGCGTTTGGCGATTTCGAACGCCTTCTGCAGTTTCTCGGCTCCTTCCACGCGGAAGAAGTCGTTGAGGGCGCGCTCGGTTTTGCGCAGGTGGGTGCTGACCATGCAGACGCGGGTGATGTTGAGGATCATGGTGATGGTGAAGGTCACCAGGCAGATGATGACGTAGTAGAGCCCCAGGCCGCTGTGAGTGTAGCTCACCCTCAGAGACACAGTGTAGTTCGAGACGCCGGCTGAGCTCCACGCCACGCAGGTGTATCTCCCACGATCCTCGAAGGAAACTGAGCTGATGTTCAGCCTGTCTTTCCCCAGCATCCACCTACCACCTGCACGGTGAAGAAGAAGGACAGCGGACAGTCAGTGGAGGACAAGAGTTTCTTACCACCTTCATATCAGAGCTGTACGTAAACGTGTTAAACAGGTGGCTCTAATGCTCAAGTGTCATTGCACAAATTAAAATACTGCACCAATCTAAAAAACTATTCATTATATATATATATATATATATATATATATATATATATATATATATATATATATATATAAAAATTCTTTTAGTGCATTCTAAAAAAGGATATAGACTAAAGATGGCAAAGGCAGTAGGAACAGAAGGGGGCGCCTTACCTTCTGAATCCAGGGACCTCTTTGGGATGCCTTATTTTTTGCCATGTGAACAATATAAGCCTAAATCATTGCTGGCTTTTCATAAAACAGTCCAGCATATTTGATTAGTAGCTTTCAGTTAAGGCTCTACATAATAAGTGACATAAGCCAAGGGCCCTGTGGCCACCAGGGGGCCCCCTAACAACTTCTGTGTTATTACTGTACCATCACATTGTCTAAGATGCTCTAATGAGTCACATCTACCAGAGATGTGATAAATGAAGAGACTGGTCACTGACTGGAATATGAACGGGAACGCTCATAACGCTCAACGTCAGATTATCGGGAAAGTACTGCTCTTCAATAAAATGAGCCAATCATCTTGCTGGTTAAGCCACCAGTGGTGAAAGCCCCCCTCTTTTGGAAGTATGTGCACGCACAGTAGCCAGAATAAGCTGAAAATCGCATTTGTTATGTGTTATTGGAGACAAATGGTACATTTGGATTTCAAATTTGTTTTTGAAACGTTGAGTTTTGGTTTAGTCTCGGTTTTGTAGGTCTCTCCCCAGTCAAAGGAATACGAGTCTGGTTTTATATAACTGGAATTATAAAATGGTCCTAAAATCTGATTTGAAGCCGTTGTAAAACACACTCAAATGACCACCTCACAACAACTGCATTGTGTATCACTACACCACAGCATGGAAAAAACCCTTGTGCTGCTAATGGAATAAGCTTTGACTCTCATGCTGCTCACATGGAGCACCGAGTGTACTGATGAAGTGAGAACCCATTTTTTGTTTAAACTGAGGGGCTGACAACTTATGTTCTTAACTAGAACCAGGCTGGTCAGCTACCTAACCTAAACGAGAGCAAACATGCTAAACAACCCCAACATTAATATAACAGGCTTGAATTAAAGTACTCACGATATGATTCACTGAAAAACGTGTCCATGTTTCAGTCAGAAGTCACGTCAAACCCAGGCTGAACCCCAAACGGCTCTGAACTCCCTAAACAGTGTTCTAGCTATGAAAGTTTAGAAATTCTAGCCTCTACAGCCAAACAGTGCATCATTTATCGAGTGTGGATGTGTCCCAAATGACTATTTCGTATCTGTATTTTGCTCTGTTTGACTGCAGGATCCAGTATTTAAATAGTGCACTATGTAGGGAGCAGGGAGCGATTTGAGATTCAGCCCCAGCGTGAGAAGAAGGGGGTCGCTGGATTGGTGCTAAATAAGACTCGCGGTTAGCAATTTGGTGACCAAAATGTACTTATAAAGTGAAGCTTTTTGTATTAAACAGTGCTGTGTTATCATATCAGATGGCACATTATAAGCACACAGTTCAGTCTGTTGCTGGTGTGTGCCGGTCTGGGATGAGCATGTGCAGCAAAACAACCTCTGAATGAAATACAGGATCTCAGTGTAAAGTGGCGCTTGTGTCTTATTCCACCCGTTTTAGATCTGAAACTCAGGGGCTTTAATGAATTCAGCACCGGTTAATCACCACATTTGAGTGAATGAGCTCCTCAGTATTGACTCCTCTGATGTAATTTCTTGATTTTTCTCTATTATGTGGAATGAGAAACACATTTCTTACTGTTGTTTGCATGGTTAAATCATCATTCCAGCCCCAGTGAGGGCTGCATGCTTTTTTCAGCAGCAGAGCACCCAAAAAATGCAACTGACAATTTGTGTCTCTTGTAAGAATTGCACATTTATTTAGCCAGCCGAGCTGCCAGCAAATGATGCGGGTGAATTCTTCATATCTAACCATGGAAGGTGGACAAAGGTGTTTACAATGCATTTCACATATTAACTGCTACAGAGCATCAAACCACATGTTGTCAATCATGGAATATCCACTAAAATATGGAATTTAATCCATTTGTATTCTATTTTTTCAGTTACCTCAGAATAAAGTCGGTCACACCAGTGACTTCAGCTAAAAGCTTCATATGAAATCATGAGCTGAATGAGAAAATCTCTGATAACTGAAAGACACAGTGGACTCACCATGAGCTTTTCTTCATAGATCCTCAGAAAACAGGTAAAAGGAAGTCGAGTGATGTCATCAGTGTGACTTTTATTTCAAAATAAGAGATTTTTTGTTACGCGGTAACACCAGTGACACGACTCCCGGGGACAACTTTCGTTATAAATTTCATAACATTTATTTGGCATTTGTTTTCTTTATGTTATTTAATGTATATATTCCATAGTCATGTATAGATTATTGTAGTTAAAATAGCAGAAAAATGTTTTTTACTTTAAAATATGGCCTCAGCCTTCACACATGACTGTGAGGACGAGCTCTTCTGTGGTGCTTGGAATTCTTGATAATTGATTTATAAACCAATATTGCTAAATTGAGGCTCAAGAAGGTGTAATTGTTCAAATAACTTATTGTTGTATTTTACAATGTAAATAAATTGTAACCCTAACATGTTTTTCAAGTGTAATATATCTGCAAACGCTAGGGACACAAAAATGGACGTTTCTGTAGAATGACCCAATAATAATATGTTCATAACAGTGGTTTAGATTTATACTGAAAATATTTCTAGTACATTTGGGACCAGTTTCCCAGACCTAGATTAAGCCTGAGCCTATACTAAAATAAAATTGTTCTCACTTCATTTGAATAGTCCACTATAGTCCCCTATTGATTATCTACAGATGTTACAGTTGTTAATAAACTGCCCGTTGAAACTCTAAACAGTGGTGGGGTTAGGGTTAGGATTTGGACCAGGGTGAGGGTTGGGTTTAGGTTTTGGGTCGAGGTTAAGGTCAGGGTTAGGATTAGAGTTAAAGAAAATGATGGTCAATTTAGTAGATATTTAGTTAAATGTAATTTGAAAGTAAATTAAGTATCTACAAAGCATCTAAAGTGCACTATACAAATAAAGTGTTAGCAAATCTCAATGGTGATTCACCACAGGCACTGCAATAGATTAGAACTAGGCATAATCCATGTCCATGAAACTGGGCCCTTAAAGGGGAATTCCACCCAAAGTCCAAAATGTCTGCATAAGTAAATGGTTAAGGATTTCTTCAGCTGTACTCCTTTTGACACTATCAACGGCTTCTGACTGCAGAGCAAAGTTCTCCTGCATGTGAAAGAGGAATGAAGCAGTTATCTCACCTGACCCTTCTCCGCCCAGAACATGTCCTCTGGAGTTGTACCACATGATGCGGTCAGGAGCTCCGCTCACATTACACGGGATCACCACACTGCTGCCCTCCTGCACTGTAATGTCCAGCAGAGCCGGCAGACCGGACAGCTCTTCAGGCTTCATCTCAGACACCTCAGCGTAGGCCTGGACCACAAAACCATGACAAAAACTATCAACATCCAACTACTTTTTTATTGATGAAGCATATCTGAGGTGTTTTTGATTAAATGATTATACCATTCTGTTCTTCAGGTCAGTTTTAGCAGAGCTCTCTACATTTTTACCTCTGGTCACCCACAGAGCAGGTACTATTTGGGTGGTGGATCATTCTCAGCACTGCAGTAACACTGACGTGGTGGTGGTGTGTTAGTGTGTGTTGTGCTGGTGCTAGTGGATCAGACACAGCAGTGCTGCTGGAGTTTTTAAACACCTCAGTGTCACTGCTGGACTGAGAATAGTCCACCAACCAAAAATATCCAGCCAACAGTGTCTTGTGGGCAGCGTCCTGTGGGCAGCGCCCTGTGGGCAGCGTCCTGTGACCACTGATGAAGGACTACAGAATGACCAACACAAACTGTGCAGCAGCAGATGAGCTATCGCCTCTGACTTTACATCTACAAGGTGGACTGACAAGGTAGGAGTGTCTAATAGAATGGACAGTGAATGGACACAGTGTTTAAAAACTCCAGCAGCACTGCTGTGTCTGATCCACTCGTACCAGCACAACACACACTAACACACCACCACCACGTCAGTGTTACTGCAGTGCTGAGAATGATCCACCACCCTAATAGTACCTGCTCTGTGGGGGTCCATGGGGGTCCTGACCACTGAAGAACAGGGTAACAAAGTATACAGAGAAACAGATGGACTATATATATATATATATATGTGTGTGTGTGTGTGTATGTATATATATATATATATATATATATGATTGAACATTCCATTTTGTCACTACCAACACAATTTTAACACAACTGACCAAATGTTTCAAATTGACTGTTTCGGTGACAATTTTTGCTCATTTTGAGCAGAACTCAAAAATGTTCGCCAGTACATGGCCAGCAAACACCGCTTTGATCAGCTGTTCACACATAAAATCATCATATTTTTCAATACAACACTAAAAAGTGGACTTTATTGTACAAAATATGTGTTTCGAAAGTGACAATTTTAACATTTTACACTGATTTTCAGACTTTGGGACACATTTACTTCAAAACAATGGGATCTTACTGCTCACCATGTGGCCATGAGGGACAGGGATGCAAAAATGGAGGAGTGGCTAAAATAAAACTTCACCCACAGACTAAAAATCTTTCAACTTTAAAAGAAATCAAAAGCTTTAAAAAAAAAACAAAAAAAAAACAAAAACAAAACAAAAACAAAAAATGTAAGTCTTATTTTTAGAAGTGTAAATTTAGGAACAGACGCCTCCTAAGAGGAAGTGTAATTATGCTGATTGTGTATATATTATATATATATTGTGTATATATTGTGTATATATTTATCTTATTAGTATCTCTATTAATGTCTTGAGTTTAAAGAGATCAGAACAGAATCCTTGTAAATATCTAACGGGCTGAATCCTTCATTATTTGTTAACTAGTTTTTTTTACTGTTTACTAATTCGGTATAATGTGGCTTAAACTGTGGCTTTATATAAAGTAACTGCGGAGAGATTTTTGATGATGCTGCCCAGCCGTACCTGACCGATGGTGTGGACAGAGATCATGAAGGCCCAGACTTTGAGATAGATGAGCCCCATCATTCTGAAGAGCTGTAAAGGCACGTCTGTCTGTCTGTCTGTCCACTCTCTGATGAGCCTGCGGTCACTTTCACGATGACATGCTCTCTGTTTGTTTCCTCTGCAGCCCTGAAAACAAAAAACAGTCCAACGCTGTGACCCAGTTCAGCTCCAAAACAGCCAGAATGAGTTTACAGAGTAAATAAAACAGCCTTTAAATAAGGACTGAACACAAACTCTCCACCTGAGACGCCGTCACAGCAGGAACTTCCTCGTTCAGGAATTCTGTTCCAGTCAGACCTGCTCCACAGACACAGCTGGTTTCCCTACCTGTATTCAGACAGGCCCCGCCCACCCGCTTCAGGACTGGCTAAGAGCTCGGACTCACACAGTCCACCCTCACCTGAATACAGGTGGAAAAAAAGCCAGCAAGAGCCAGAGTAGGTCAAAGGTCAGTCTGTCAGAAATGACCTTTATCTTTAGTTGACGGCTGAAACGTGTTTTCTTTTCACTTGTTGACGTGGAATGTTTTATTATTTTTACGAAGAGTGCTGAATGAGTCAACGTCAGCAAATAATAATAATAATAATAATAATAATAATAATAATAATTAACAGACATAAACCTCTTTATAGCACAAAGAAAAAGCAGGCCTGACACAGAAATAGATTAGTGGTCCCAAGAAAAAAAAGTATTATTATTATTATTATTATTTGTTATTATTATTATTATTATTATTATTATTATTATTATTATTATTATTATTATTTGTTTTTTTGTTGTTGTTGTCGTTATGTGTCCAAAAAGTTAAAACCCATTATTTTAGTTATTATCTTTAGTTATTAGTTTGATTTATTCATTATTATTGTTGTTGCTGTTACTTATAATGTTATGGAATTGATGTTGTTATAATATATATAGAACCATTCCCTTTACTAAAGAACCCTTGAAGAGCCAGTGTACTCGTTAATGGGTACCTATACATGAAAACATTACATAATCTAAAATGATCTTCGTTTATTTCATGACATTTCAGGCTAAAATAAGCGAATATTGTTGTCATCGTTGCGTTGTGGGTTTTCACTGTGCGTTTACCCGTATTCGACCAGCAGGTGTCGCCAATGTGCGCCGATTCGAGCGTCTCGAATCAGTGAATCATTTTCCGAATCGTTTGGTTTTGTTCAGTTACTGGGTCAGACGGGAACGTGACCCCGGAGCACCACCCATCATTGGGTGCGATCAGACCGCACGAGCCTTCAGCCACAGCGCTCAGAGAGACGGACACGGTTCGGCCCGCAGAGATGGAGGAGCAGAACAGCACAGCACAGACTACAGAGCAGAGCTCCAACAATGACCTGCACAACTCCGCGCTCTCAGGTCAGTTCAGAGGCCTCTCTATGGCACTGAGAGATCAGACACACATTGTTTGTGGGACGAAGAAGAAGTTGGCCTCCTTTTCCCTGGGTTTTTACTTCGAATTTTCCGTTCCACCTTAAATTGTGCAGCATTTAAGGTGAAACGGAAAAGTTAGTGGGTGATTCCACGGTTGGGGATCCATTTGTGCCTCTCAGATATTATTTACAAATATGTATGTAAATCAGAGATAAAGGCATTTTAGATCAGATGAAGTGTCCCTCACAACTGTCTGTGCATATTGCAGGTAAATAATATTAATAAAACCTCTACAGCAATTAGAAAACAGCATTTTTGGTTGTCCCAGCTCCCTGTAAGTAAACCTCACCTTGAAATATTTGCATCAAAACTTCAAAAATGGTGTTATTTTTGCTTTAATATGTGAATCCATGTATTATTTCATGTTTGAAATGTCAATTTTTCACAAGCCATCCATTATAATCATTATGGGTTATGAATTTTTTTTTAGTGGGTTTTTTAGTGAATGTGTCCTCTGTGAGATATCCAGAGTCACACGTTCAACAGGGTCCTAATGTCCTCAAGATCACAGAGGACAAAAAGACAGTTTAGCTTTGTTTTTAATCGTACAGTGATGTTGACTGATGAGGTCACTTTAAAAGTAACTCAAATTATGTATCAAAAATAAATTATTTATTTAAAAAAAAAACATTTTAAACAAATCATTAGAATATCCTCATGTCATTATCATAGATGCTGCTTAATCAGTTGCTAATGCTTTGCTAAAAAAAAACCCTCAGCCCTCTTTTCTGCAAGCTTCCCTTGAAATCCAACTGAAGGGGAACTCCACCAATTTTTCAAAATTCATTGCCTAACTGCATAACTAAATGGTTAAGATGTAAACAGAGTCGTTCAGAGTGGTTTGGTGTGAAACGCTCTGTTCTAGAGAAACTTACCAAGTCAGAATTGTTCACAGTGGTGGTGATAGGAACCAGACGTCCACCTCTAAAAGCTCCCTCACAGAAAGTTACTACATGAAATGGTTATGAATTCACTGCCTGATGACTGAGACACTGTTTTAGGATAGTTTTGAGATGATTTTGAACTTAAACATACATTTTTAAATCATTTAATGGTGGAGTGGTACATGCAGGCAAAATAGTCCCCAAAGAAAACTTATTATTTCAGATTTTCCACTATTTTCCATCATCAACATTCCATTCCAAACTCAGAAGACTCGTGTAGGTTCACTGGTGGTTCTGGATAGTAAATAAAATGTCTATATTTGTGTTGTAGCCATGGTGAACCCTGGTTCCTATCACCACCACTGTAAAGAAATCACAGTTGCTGAATTGTGCAGAAATTTTGAAAGATTGGTGGAGTTCCCCTTTAACACTAAGCTGCTGTATCTGCAGTGCTGCACATAAATACTAAATATAGCAGAGTCAACATATAAAACCCTGCAGACTGTGTGATTTTCTCTGATTTCTCTGTTGTTTCTCACTCAGTTTCTCAGTAAACGCAGCGCAGTGTCGGGATTCAGGGTGAGGTGAGCTGGATGGAGCTGGCTGAGTTTTCCAGGCTGTTTGTTGGTATTTGAGGTTGGAGTTTAAGCTCTTGCACATGACTTTCCTTCTAGCAGAAACGTGGCCCACTAAAATCCTTCAGATAATCCTGAAAGCGTATTCCAGCTCATACACACGTCCTGTAATACCTTTATACTGTGTTCAGTCACTGAATATGATATAAACTGTTGTCGCTGTTGCCAGAAGAAAACGTTTTATCTCCATTTTTGTTGTTTTTCAGTTTTTGACATAATTTGAAAATGTTGGTTGTCCTTTACATTGTGTGTAAATATCATGAAGAATGGACCAAAAGAAACGGCCAAAAATGGCTTGGAAAAAACTCTGCTTCCATTGACTTACATTGAAAGTAAAGTAGGTTTTTTCCTCCTCCTGTAAAGTTACCATTTTGGAGATATATATATATATATGTGTGTGTGTGTGTGTGTGTGTGTGTGTGTGTGTGTATGTATGTATATGTATGTTTGTATTTAAATTCAATAAGGGGCCAACACACCTTTTTTCACTCACTTTGCACCTGTGTAAATGTGATGTGACAATAAACGTGATTTGATTTGGATTTATTTGATCAGATTAATCAGAATTGATTGGGCAGTTGGTCAGCGTCTAAAGCTCTGTGAACTGATTGTTCCTGTCATCTATCTTAAAGGTATCTTCACTACCCAATACGTCTTGCCTGAAACGCTTAAAACTGCCATCAAAAACAACCAAAGGCTTTTAATCAGCCTGCTGTCTTTATGAGGAGACATGCAGCAGTTCAATGTTGTTTAAGTTCTGCCCACAGAAACAATATGATTAGTAAAGAGTATTGTGACATACTAATGCTAATGCTAATGCTATAGAAACCATGGCACAAAGCCAGAGTAGAGTATCGGTCCCAGTCACTCCACTTGCAGAACAGATTTGACCCACTGCAAGGCCTCAGCGAGTGACCACAGGGCAGAAAGAACCAGAAGTGTCAGCCGGTCAGAGCGCCCTGGTAGAGCCACTGGGCCCCGGTCTGTGGCCAAAGCAGCTTCCTACATTACTGGCCGAATACACAATAGTGAAGCAAGTCATTGTTCATATAGGCAGGAATGACACAGGAAAGCAGGAGTCTGTAGGAACTGGTCAGTTAGTCCTGCTGAAGGTGATGCCTAAACATGGAGAAGCAGCGTTTAGATACTGTGTTGTTCTTAATTAGAACCCTAGAATTTTGGGGATTTTTTGGGGGATTTTTTGGGTCAATTGCAATGATAAAGTATTTACGTGTGACAGTCACACAGGCCATATGTTGTTATTTTCAGGAGACCCTGGGCTGCTCAGATATGCCATTGTTTGACATGTAAATCCTAACAGAAATTTGATATCTTCTAAAGAATGATATCATCTAAAGAATGCTACAAAACGTGATCATAGGCTGGAATGCCCCTTTAAAATGTAGAAAATCCCACATCTCTCACAGTGAGACACATTAGGTATGTTGACTAGATTTAAGGGTTAATTTCACTGATTGTTTTATAATTTCCACATAATTCAGTGTGTGAGATGTAAACAGACTGATTCAGAGGGGTTTGGTGTGAAATGGTTCAGATGTCTTTACAGTGGTGGTGATAGGAACCAGGGGTCGCCATGACTACAACACAAATATAGACATTTTATTTACTATCCAGAACCACCAGTGAACCTACACGAGTCTTCTGAGTTTATATGGGATGAAAAAAATTGTCTTTGAGGAGGATTTTGGGTTAAAAAAAAAAATGTTTTAGGCCAAAGCTTTATCATACAAACAGTGTCTCAGTCATCAGGCAGTGAATTCATAACCATTTCATGTAGGAACTTTCTGTGAGGAGCTTTTAGAGGTGGACGTCTGGTTCCTATCACCACCACTGTGAACAGTTCTGACTCAGTACATTTATCTACAACAGAGCGTTTCACACCAAACCACTCTGATTACATCTGAACTGTTTAATTATGCTGGAATTTTGACAAATTGGTGGAGTTCCCCTTAGGTCATTTTTGTAGCTAAGATAATGTTTTGCAGTGGTAATGTAATATCCCCATCTCTCTCTCTCTCTCTCTCTCTCTCTCTCGCTCTCCCTCCCTCCCTCCGTCTTTATGTCTCCCATTCCCTCTCTATCTTTCTCTCTATATACCTCCCTCTCCTATATCTCTCTCTCTCTCTGTCTCTCTCTCTATCTATCTATCTATCTATCTATCTATCTATCTATCTGTCTCCCTCTCTGTCTCTCTATCTTTTTATCTCTCTCTATCTCTCTCTCTCTCTCTCTCTCTTTATCTATCTATCTCTCTCTCTCTCTCTCTCTCTCTCTCTCTCTCTTTATCTATCAATCTATGTATCTATCTATCTCTCTCTCTCTCTGTCTCTCTCTCTATCTCTCTTTATCTATCG